TGAAGCTTCCCTCCGACTTAGTGTTCCTGCTTCCCCACCTCAGTATAATGACCATGCCATCAGAACACGCCAAGGCCTGTCCAGCCACTGTGGGGGCGGGCACGTTCACCGTCGCCGACCACGCCCCCTTCCTCGGCGCTCCCCTCTTACCATCCACTCATATAAGAGGCAAATGAGCACTGACGCTGTGGCTCAAGTGTCATGGCCAGTTGAGTCCGACTTTCGCCTCCTTCTGAAAAGCACCTTGAGATGGCCTGAGTACCGCTTGACATCGCCGCCGCCGCTCGTCGCTGTCGATGCCATGCAGTCAGTCACCAACGGCGGCTGCTGGCTGGCTGGCTGGACGGCTAACGATGGCAACGATGTCTTCAACTCGGTCATTTCAAGGTGTGAGCCTCATGCTCCTTCGTTTCTTTGTTCATCTTCCTGTCTTTGTCGTCAAGTATGTCCTAATCCGTTCTGACAATGGCTACTTACAGTTACCAGTATGACCGCCAACGCCACCCCTGGCGTCGTCGACAGCGCACCGAACGCTTTCAGCTTTCCTTCTCAATCTGGTCAAATGCCATATTTCAATTTTCCACCAAATTATCCATCTACCGGAGATTTTTCCAGGTAATTTTCTGTCTTTATTCGTTTCCTACTCTTTTCTTTACCTGGTAATCCGTGAGGAATCCTGCTCGATCTCGAGCCTTCTGGAGGGGATATTTGAAGAGCCCACCTCAGATAACTGGGAGTGATGTGAGGGAGCTGAAGAGTTTTCTGGGGTCGGAGGACAGTGGATCTGGGGGAATGAACAGGCGGTAATCCTATAGGTCTGCACAAGGAATTTTACAAGTCCACTCCTTCTTAGCTGACTTACCCTTCCTCCTCCCCACCCCCCCCCCGTTTGAAATGATAGGTGAACTGGCGCAGTACCATCTCGTTTAGCTTTGCAAGGGCTCAAAATGGCTCAGATCTGGGAAATAGGGCCCTAGGCACAACCTACCTCGTGAAGTTTTTCAAAATCCTGAAGCTGCCTCATATCAAATAACTTCGCCAAAAAAATTCACTGAAGGGATTTCATAGGCTTTTTTTTCAAAAATGTCGCTCCAAAGACAAGCATAGCCATTGCCATCCTTGCAAATTTCTACCTCGAACCTAATGTCTCAGCCCTACCTTAACATGTACGTATTTCAGCTGGGCGAACGCACAGACGACAGCCAGTTGGTACCAACCCGATCCACGATTCACAAGTAAGTAAACACCCGATTACGGTAGTTGGTTAAACTCTATTGATATTTGTGCTCTTTCGTCGTGAGAAATTACGTGTCCATGTTTGTCGTCTATTGCATCATCACGATGACTTTTTCTCGAACGCTTTCGTGGTCCCTAGGATAGCCAAGTCCCTTTTTTCTCCGCTAGGGCTAAGCTTCGGCGGAGATGCTCGCGGACGCCGAAATCTATGCAGTTATTAGTGTCTAATTGATCGCGCCTTGTATCGAGGCGACACAAAACCGGCCCCCAGATCGTCGGCTCAGCAAATTATACTCTCAATTTCACAGCCCATTCACGAACACGTCCATGTCCACTTATCGTGGACATAGAGTATGGTTAGTAGGTAGTATGGCCGGTAGACGGTATCTTCTACGCCGTCATATCCGCCTTGACGGGAGTTTTATTCGTTCTGAAAAGCTACGTGGAAGTTTTTTGCACTTTCGCTTTGCATTACCACTACAGTACACCAGCGAAGATATAGTATCGTAATTTAGAGACGCAGAGCAACCATGGGGATGAATAAGAAGGAGGAACAGGTTGTGCTTCCCATGACGAATTCCCACACATCTCGTCTCACTCAGTCTTTACCGCAATACATAAACACCCACAATGTACTCAGGAAGAGGACCAGGGATCGTAAGATGCTGGGGATACGTGGTGCGTTGAGCGAAAGAAGGCCAAGGATGGTAGGGGTCCAACAAAGTCCGTCCGAAGCTCCTACAGTCATAATCGGGAATATTGTAACAAAGGTGCCCAGTTGAGTTGCGAGTGGACGAAATGCTTAGCCTCAGTGGGAACTCGAGCCTGGCCGGTACTCATTCCAGGAAGTTTGTTACCCATCGCGGACCACATTCTGAACCTTTATGTCTATGGTACGTTGACGGGGCTATTGAAAATTCAGTTAGGCAGTATCTTAGATGAGGTTATCCAAGGAAAAGCTCCCAATGGTATAAGCTCCAGCTTCTTCTTTTCTGCGGAAAAAAAACCATAAAGAAATCCATCAGACTCATATTGTCCACTTCCTTTGATTGGCAAGTAGCCAAGTTTGTTTATCCATTCTGTATTCTCCATTTCCTTTGTACTGAATAATAATTCTAAAGAGGATAAAGGAAATCAAGAAAATTTGGCCCCAAGAAGGCTCTGTAGCCTGTTTCATGGCCTTCTAGGCTCACAACCTTTGCTGAGGATAGGATTCGACTCTCCATGAATCTGAGCATGGCCATAATAATGTTGAAAAGTGTTTCTCTAGCAATCCAAGATTGCTATAAATCTCAGCTCGGTAACTAACAGTTGGCCCAATAATTAAGTAAGTTTGGATAGGTTGAACTAGCTTACGATCAGCCCTCTGTGAACTTTTCTCGCTCTGAGCCTTGATGATAAATCCCGAACGGGGGGGGTAGTACGTTGAGGATCCCGGGGGTCGCATCTGGTCGCTGGAGGGCTCATACTTTGCAAGAGTTTCCCCTAAGAGCAGGACCTGGCCTGGTCTCAAAAGCAGTTCGTCATCTTACCATAAGCATCTAAAATTGAGATTGTACAAAATTTTATTGCTTAGTGGCGCTGCAGTGGGGAGGAACGTGCTCGAGCTTCTTGCTGTTACTCCTTACAATCTCTTGCTGTTCTGCTCTCAGAAAAAAATTTGCATATTACGATCTTCCTCCTTCCAGCGGCCAAGGTCCTGGCTCGATAACACAGCCTTCTTGTGAAGACATCTTCAATTTTTCTCCAAAGAAAAGGTTATGGAAAAGATTTTGCAACCAGAATGAAGGGGAAGCTTTTTTCAAGGTAATAGGGGGATGTCAGGTCAAGACAAAGGGGTCCTGCAAAATGTTGCGATTATGGCAATCATTCCTGCTCCAAAGGGGTACATGTGAATACATCCCCAAAGATCACCCTGTCTCAGAATAAAAGTAGCGTAGGATAGCCCAAAATGGGTTTGATGGCGTCCTCCTGAGAGAAAGTTCCTCATCGAAGTCCATTCTGCCAGTCTCTGTAGGGCTCGAAACGTCACCATAGCGCTGAAGTGTTCTTTCCACTTTCTAGCTCTAAACCTTAAAATTCGATACCCTGAGTTAGCCCACGTATGGACTCAGGAATTTTGCCCAAGAGTTTAGTATGCCTTTTTTTAACTAAGCTCAAGCTGTTCATGTTTGAGTTCATCAGACCCAGCAATCGGTCATCGTTGCCCCGGATTGTCTAAGCTAAATCCACCCAGTGGGAGCTGGACAAGAGGTCAATTGAGTGTGATTCTAGGCACACTACGGGGGGTACAGTCAATACCGTAAAGAGTACCTGGACACTTAACTCATCTGAAAGGCATCCCAGGACCACTACGAGTCCCCTAGGGCTACTGTAGGTGACCCTGTTTAGCATATTGGATTATCACGCATTACCATTTCGAGAATTGCGCAATTTGGGCAAGGTGAGTAACTTGATCCTAGACGGGAGCAAGGCTGCGCAATACTCTGTCACCACTTGAGCATAAGTGAAGTGATATGAATGGAGCCCATAGCCAGGTAACCATGATCCGGGGCAAACAGAAATTTACAGGATATATTTCTTGGGGAGTCCCTGAGTGACACAGGTAGCTCGGACCGTTTCTCGGGAGACATTCCACTGAACGTTGGCGCTCGCTCATCGGTACAAGGTCAAGAACGACTGCCATGAACTCGGCCTGTGTTTGTCTTCGCCTCTTTTCGCGTTTATCGAGAGGGACAGGGCAAACTCTGCTTACGGCCGACAACGATGCAGCCCGTGCAGCCAATTCCTTTCCGTCTTCTTCTGTCACCCAAATAAGGAACCATGAAGAGCCACGAGCCAATATCGCGCCCAAAATCTCCGGAAATTGACACTTGCCCATGGAACAATTGCCCACACCGTAGTCAAATATAGCCATGAACAGCCCGGAACAGCCCGGATACGATAGTTGTTTGAGATCCACGGAATGTAAATACTAATATTTTCCTATAGAGAACAGGTGTTCACCATTGAATCATTGCAGTAAATCGCTTTGGTGGTCCCAATCTTGGCCTGAACATCGCTGCCTCTCAAGGACTAGTGAATTCTATGAGCAGGAGGAAACGAAGAGTCCTCTTCACTCAGCAGCAGGTGAGAATTTGCCGGAATTCCCGTTTGAGTGCCAAATAATACCCACGTAATTGCAGGTGAACGAGCTAGAAAGGCAATTCCGACACAAGAAGTACTTGAGCGCTCAGGATCGTGAGCTCCTTGCCAAGAACATCGGTCTGTCGCCCACTCAGGTATGTCCAGGTCGCTCTTCTGAAGCCTTTCCTGAAAACACTTGACGATTCACCGATGCACCTGCCATTTATGACGTAACCATTGGCGTCAAAGGCTAACCGCGGGCTTCCTCAGCTAGCCCTCTTTCCTCCCTTCCTTCCCGGCCCGTCTGTCCTTCGTGATTCTCCTGCCAATCCAGTCTCTCTATACAGTTCTAGTTCCACACGGCTACACGGCTAGGTGCGGGTTGCTATTGTCCTCAAACACGTCCCAACTAAATTCCAGCCAATCAAGGTCTAGGCAGGTAGCTGACGCGCTAGCGTGCTTCCCCAAAGGAAAACCTTATAAAAAAGCGCTACATTGTGCTATTTCAGGTGAAGATCTGGTTCCAAAACCAACGATCAAACACAAACGACAAGACAAGGAACGCGCCATGAGCAAGGGCGGCGGAAGAGAGAACAGTGAAGTCTCCTGGAAGTCATGAGGACAGCGATGGGGAGCCGATGACAGCTGAGTAAGTTTTCCTAGCCCAGATCCTAAGAGCCTTCTGCACCCTTCTTTTTCCACTAAACAGCCCCATTTCAGAAGCATCAAAGCCGAAAAGATTGAGGTTGAAGAGAAACCGTCTGCATTCCCCTCGCCTGCCGTCAACGATACCTCTTGCCTGCCCGACATCAATAATCCGATTTATCAGCAGGTGTGTGAAGATACGCCCGTCAATTTTGAATTACCGTAATCCTATCATGACGGACGCCGCCATCGTCAGTCAGCAAAGCAGCCACACAGCTTGGCTAACGAATCTTGTTTGGTGGTCTGTTTGAAATCAAGTGGTAGCCCTTAGCCTGACGTGATTTGAAATTTGTCCCACGTAAACGGATTACTGTCACGGTAGGGGACGAAATCAAGCCATTACCACCAGGCTTTTCGGATCTTTCAGAGCCCTGGGACTTACTCAAAGTCAGGGTTATTTCAT